GGAGGACTCCCCTCATGATGGCTTCGGAGAACGGGCACACTGCAGCAGTCGGTACGTGGCTGGCAGCCGCTTTCCCCAGCACGGGGTGCGAGCCTCCCTCTGCCTCCTCCGTCACCGGGTCCCGTGGGAGCCGGGCTGTCCCTCTCCTCGTGGGCACGCAAGGATGGCAGCCCCGCTCCTGCCCCTCAGCACGTGGCCACTTCCCCACCTTGCTGGGCTCTGTGCTGCCGCTTCTCAGCAGCAGCTGTCTCTCCTCATTTCAGAGTTCCTGCTGTACCAAGCAAAAGCAAATATAACTGTGCTGGATGTCAACAAGAACACAGCTCTTCACCTGGCCTGCAGCAAGGTAGGGAGCCGGCTGCTGACAGCCACCTTCACCTTCAGCCTTGCCGCCTTAATGAGAGGGGTTGTCCACCTACTCCTGCCCCGCCAGAGTGGCGGCGAGGGCCCTGGGCTTGCTCTGCCTCCCTGCTTAACTGTCGTGACCTGTACAGACGCTCCTGATTCAGTTTTGGGCAGCTTAGGTTGTAGCACAGACCTGTCTGCGTTTTTCCTGGTGGTCCCCTCTGAGCTCGCTGTGCTTCCTGGGGCGCGGTGGGAGCAGGAGCTTTGGGGTCAGTGTGTCCACACAAAGATGGAGATGGTGGGGACAGCAGCTTGCCTTCTCAGACCCTGCCTGAGAAGTGGTGAAGTGTTGTGGGCGGTCGGATTTGGGGAACGTTTCCATCCCCCCGGGGAATTGCATTCCACTCGGACAGCGCCAGGTCCCCTCCACTGCCTCTGCCCCCCTCCTCCTGCACCGTGAACAGTCTGATCTCCTTTCCAGGGTCATGAAAAGTGTGCCTTGTTGATCCTGGGGGAAACCCAAGACCTTGGCCTTATCAATGCAAGTAACAGTGCTCTGCAAATGTGAGTATTTGGACAGCTGGCACCGGGGGGGGGTGAAACGGGGCTTTGCTGGGTGGGGGTGATGCATCGGCGGTGGTGGGAGCTCTGCTCCTCCTTGGTGCGCGCTGGGAGCGTGCAAGCGGGTAAGCTCGGCAGCGCTCAGGACCCCACGAGTGTCTGCCCTCGCAACCGCGCGTGGGGGCCCCTTGTTTTAGCAGGAGGTGTTAAGGCAGGGGGCTCCGCTGCCGGGTTAACGCTGCCTTTCCCTCTCCCCCCCCTCCCAGGCCGCTCCACATCGCAGCTCGGAACGGGCTGGCCTCCGTCGTCCAGGCCCTGCTCAGCAGAGGTGCCACTGTGCTGGCTGTGGATGAAGAAGGTGCGTGTTCCTCGCGGGTGCCCCGGGGGGAGTTCAGTCTGGCGTCCCTGGGGGACGGGGGGTGCCTGGGGAAGCGCTCAGCCGGCATCGGAAGGGTTTCCGCATCCTTTCCGCGGCTCAGTAGCACGCTCTCAGCTCGCGGCGTCGCAGGAACAGCCTGGGTGAGGACATCGGCACCCTGCGATGCCCTGTAAAAGCATTTCCAGGTCCCACAGGTGTTTGAAATACGTCTTTTGCCCCCCATGCGTCTTCTGGTGGCTGTCTGGCTCTCCTGCCGGGCACAAAACCAGCCCAGCCGGAGCCAGCAATGAGCTGTTGACTCACTTGCAAGTTGGCAGAAACTGGTGGTTGTAGCCAGAAGCTTTTTCTCCCGGCAGAGTTCTTGCTCTGCTGGAATACCTTTAAGTTGTGAAAAATACCATTGTGTCCGCCGTGCTGCCAGGGCTTCTGAGGGTTTTTATTCATCTCCTGCCAATCTTGGCACACGTCAAAGCGGTTGCGGCAATCGCAGGGATTGCCGGTGCCCAGAAGCGGGGTCTTTTGAGATAAAGACGAGTAGATGTCCTGTGCCCTCAACGCAGGGGTGAAACCTGTCCCGGTCCGCGCGTTCCCCGGGGAGGGCGCCCGTCCGGGGTGGTTCTTCACTCCCAGCTCTGTTCTAGGTCATACCCCAGCCTTGGCATGCGCCCCCAACAAGGACGTTGCCGACTGCCTGGCACTTATCCTCTCCACCATGAAGCCTTTCCCACCTAAAGACGCCATCAGCTCTTTCAGCTTCAACCTCCTCAAGAACTGCGGCATTGCAGCCAAAACGGCCTGCGGGCCCTTGCCCAACGGCAGCACCTGCCCCTACAGCAAGGACCGGCACAATGCCATCGGCTTGGACGGCTGTTACTCGGAGTAGCTTAAACCATGGGTGACCTAATATCTTATTATATTTATTTAGAAATTCTATAAATATAGGGCACTTTAAAGGAGAACAAGACTGGGCAGGCCTTCTAGCGTGGCCGGATAGGCCAAGAGTTCAGAGCTTCCTCTTCTCGCCGGGTTGCCAGCGCGGTGCCAAAGCTTTTAATTGGTTTTAACGAGCAGCCGGCAGCGCCGTTCCCATCCCCTGCCCCTCCTCGATCCTCTCCCCGTCGGGGCAGGAGACGGATGCTGCGGGCTGAGGGCTTCGCCCGGCCGAGACGAGGCGGGTGCCGCCATCGGCTGCCCCGCAGACGGGGAGAGGCTTTGTCCCCCGGCTTTTGGGGTGGGTTGAAATCGGTTCCGGCGTTTCCCAGTGCCCTCCCGCCCTGCCTCGCCTCCGGGACGCCCCCAGAGCTGCCCCGAGCCCTCACTGCGTCCGGCGGGGACGGGGAAGCCTGAACTCTTGGTGGGATGGGGAGGGGGGGGATTTTGGGAATTGGCTGGTCTTGCAAGCGCCGGGGTGGGTGTCGTTAGCTCCTGGCCAAGTGCCACTGTAACTGCTCCTCTCTCGCAATCACTTCTTTTTCTCACGCTTCGATTCCAATACAAACACTTGAATCAAGATCTACTGTACCTGGGACACTAAAATACCCTTTTTGGCAGCTGTCATTTATATGCAAAAACGGGTGCTGCTGCCCAACCCCGCGGTCGGCTGGCTGCGGATGCGCTGCTGGAGCCTCCCTCCCCACACCAGGCACTTTAGGGATTCTGTTGGTTGGTTGGGGTTTGGTTTTTTTTTTGTTTTTTTTTTTTGTTTTTTTCTTGGCAAAATGTCGGATCCTAAGAAACGATTCTTTTTTGAATTTTCCTTCTCTGTTTTGCGTGGCCGTTTCCATGCGAAAGTCAGTGTTGCTTTTTTTTTTTTTCTTAAAAAAAAAAGAAAAAAGTTATTTATAAAGAAACGAGCATTTACCTTAAAAAAAAAAAAACAACAAAAACCATAAAAAAATACTCTGAAAGTTTTTGCCTTTTAACAAGGAAAAAAATGCACTTCAAAGTCCTTATTCACAACCCTAAGTAAGTCTGTGTTTATTTTTCTAATGCAGCATCTTGGCAGGTTTATTAGCGTGCGTGTATGTGGGATCATTGTTTTTTGTTTTGGGTTAATTTTAGAAATCATATTTATAATGCAGGTTTGAAGCATTCGAGAATGTTGCACTGTTGGGTTTTTTTTTTTTCCGTTGTTTTCTTTTTTTTTTTTTTTTCATTCTGAATTACTGTAACAGTATCATGTGCAAAAAAACAATACTCTTTCTCCATATCACGAGTCTGTTCAAAGCCAAAGACTGGGATGCAGAGAACGAGCACGGGCTGACAGGGCAACGAGCGTTTCGGGAACCATCTTCTCCCCCCACCTCCTTTCCCTCCGCAGCCTTGGCCGAAAGCGGGGCTGGCGCGGGGCTCGTGCCCGTGGCCACCCCGGGGCGTCCCAGCGGGATCCCTCTGGGATGGCAGCGGGGAGAGCGGGATCCCTCTCTCCCACCGACTCCTCGCTGGACGCTCGCCCCCGCCTTGACAGGGA